TCGTTGCCCAGGCGGGTCTCGAAGCTGCAGGCTCAGGCCATCCACTCACCTCAGCCTCCCAAAGGCGTGGGATTATAGGCTGAGCCACCGAGCCTGGCTCATAGATTTCTTAAGAAAGCAGACTAATATTAAAAATTTAACTTGTGGCCGGGCTCAGTGGCTCAGCCTGTAATCCCATTACTTCGGGAGGCCGAGTTGAGTGGATTGCCTGAGCCTGCTGGTTCGAGACCAGCCTGGGCAACTTGTGAGACTGTCTCTACAATAAAATAAAATAAAAATAGCCGGGTGTGGTAGCTTGCGTCTATAGTTCTGGGCTACTCGAAGGCTGAGGCTGGAGCCCAGAAGAAGGTCGACACTGGGGTGGCCGTGAGCGTGGCTGCCACTGTATTCCAGCTGGGGTGAGGGAGTGAGACTCCAACTAGAAAAAAAAAAAAAATTTAACTTGTAACTTTTAGTAACATTGTATATTAGGATAGGATTTTTCTTATTTATCAATCTTCTCAGTATTATCTTTGGTGAGCCAGATGATTTTTGAATATTTGTAGACTTCAGCTTAAATTTTGGTGCTTATCTATATGATGTTGGTACTATATTAAATGTTACCTGTTAACTTTTTTCCATAGGTATTCCAGGTGGTAATCAAGCCTTGCTCCTGCTTCGCAGCTGTGGTTCTCTCTTGCCTGAACTAAAGCTCACAGAGAGAACAGAATTTGCTCATAGGATATGGGACAAGCTTCAGAAATTGGGTATAATTAAATATGTGATGTGTATAAAAGGTGTAGATATTTTTCTTTTTGTAAAATGGTGTTTCTCCACACAGATCCTATTATTCAGTTTTATAGAAGGGCTACTTGATTCATAATTTTTTGGTAATATGGTTTATTTGGTGAGTTATAGTGACATCTAGGGGCATTAAAAATAATTTTTCATAACAAGTATTACAAGTATGGTAAGTTAAAAGTGAACAAAATAGAAAGGCATTTGGCCTATCAAAGGTATAAATACATGTACCATTTTGATCAAGTAGTTCCATGTATTAGAATTTAGATAGATATAATCGTATGCAAAAGTATATTCTTTAGTACAGCTTGTTTGTAATAGCAAGGAATTGGAACCAACTGAAATGCCCCTCACTTGGAGATTAGATAAATAAATTATGGTGTACCAGTAACGTAGAATATTATGCAACTATTAAAAAAAGGAGGAAGTTTTTCATATACTGATGGAGGTTATTCTCCAAAATATAAATAAAAATTAAGATGTACAACATTGTGTAGAGTACCCTACCTTTTTGAAGAAAAGTGTTTATATGTGTGCATGTGCGTACAATATTAAATTGTTTCTGGAAAGATGGTAAACACTGGATACAGTTTTTACTCTACCTTTTTCTACTTTATAAGTTTTGAATTATATGATCATAGTACACATTCAAAAAATAACTTGATAAAAGATCATTTGGTAAAATTTAATGTTCATTCCTGATTTTTAAAAATCTTCACTAGTTGGGCTTGGTGGCTCAGACTGTAACCCCGGGCCTTTGGGAGGCTGAGGTGAGTGGATTGCCTGAGCCCGCGGGTTCGAGATCCACCTGGGCAGGCGAGACCTCATCTCTACAATAAAGAAAAAAAAAAATTAGCTGGGCGTGGTAGTGTGCACCTGTAGTTCCAGCTACTTGGAAGGCTGAAGCGGAAGGATCAATGGAGCCCAGCAGGTCGAGGCTGCGGTGGCCAGGAGCGGCCACTGCACTCCAGTCTGGGCGACAGTGAGACTCCAACTCAAAAAAAAAAATAAAAAAAAAATCTTCACTGAGAATGCTTCCATAACATGTTAAAATCTAAAACCAACGATAATTGTGTATAATGCAATGAAATAAGATGTGAAATAATATTAGGAATTATTATTTTTAGGTAATGGCAATTGTTATCTGTAAAATCCCAGAAAAATCAGCTTGTAATTAGCTAGACATATTAAATGTTTAAGAATTCATAATTTTTGTAGTTATAAAACAAAATGTATAATAGGATCTAATTAAGTTTAGCAACAAATATATAAAATATTTAGGACTGTTCTTCAAAAAAATGTATAGGGCCTAGATGAAAAAAACTGTAGGATAAAGGCAGATTCTTCACAGTTTTAAATTCCCCTAGAATTTATTTTGATAACAAATTCATTTTTTAAAAGTTTTTAAAAATATAGATAAATGTTGGATTTCAGGATAGTAAAAGATTTTATAAGTTTAAAAGCAGAAATTTCTGAATGTCGGTAAATTAAGTAATTAAACACATGCTGAGCTGAGACAAAGATATGCAAAAAAGATTATATTCTAAAATAGAAAAGAGGCCTTACACAGGTGTTAATACCTCTATAGAAATATTGATGGTGTATTACTGTCTATGATATAATAATTATTCATATATAGGTATTTCCTCTATACTGTTTCCTTTATGAAAGTGGTATTCATAACTTTTTTATTTTCCTGTTTTCATGATTCTCGATATAATGGCATTGAAACCTGTTGAATTAATATTGCCAGAGGACAGGGAAATTGCTAGTTTGATTGTTGTTCATAGACTTATAAAGCTGTGAGAAATCTTTTAGCTTAGGTAACATGTTCAAAGTTACAGAATGAACTGTTGAGACTGGAACTGAGCTAGCTATCAGGAGGAAATTCTGGAGGAAACACTGGAAATGGTAGACTCTCATGTCAGTGTTGCCATATTTTAAGTTCCTACAAAAAGAATTACTTCTTTGGCCATCCTGTGATAATATATGTCTCCGTAACTATTTTTATTCAAATTCTTTGGGTTTTTTCGAAAGCAAGATTTATTGAGAAGACAGAAAGGTTCCCACCGTGGGAGGGGACCTGAGGGGGCTGCCTTATTCAAATTCTTAATCTTTTCCAAATACTTTGTTTCTCACTCTCAAGTCAGTCCATTTTCAAGCCACGATTTAAATCCTTCCATTTTAGAGTTTTATCTCTAGTCCAAATTAGAGACTCCTTTCCACATTCTCCCTGTGGTTACCATTACCATGGATTGTCTTGAGTTGTGCTTGTCTTTTTGAAAGATAATCCTCCATCAAGGTAAACTACATTCCACTCATGGAGTTTATGTGTCATCCTTTCATGAATCTTCATTTTGATGATTATATCTTATTCATATTTACAGCTTCCTCATCAGCTTGTCAGTGTTTTATACATGTTGGGTACTAAAGTAATACCAGTTGAGTATCCAAAATGCTTGGAGCTAGAAGTGTTCTGTATTTAAGATTTTTCTTCAGATTTTGGAGTATTTACCTTTACCTAGTTGAGCAAACCATATATGAAAACCCAAAATCATTCAGTGAGCATCTCCTTTGAATGTAATGTTGATGCTTAAAAAGCTTCAGATTTTGGAGAATTATGGACTTCATATTTTTGAATTTGAGATGCTCAACCTGTATTAGTTGAATTTGTAGAAAACAGGAAATTTTAACTTAATTGTTTAAAAAATTAAAATTGTACTTTATTAATAAATAGTAAATATATTAACATGGTACAAAATTCAAAAGACTTACTAGAGTTTAAATGGAGACTTTAACCACTCTTTCTCAGCTACCAATTTCTATTTCTTGGGGACAGCCAGTCAAGTCTAATGTTAAGAAAATTCTCTAAGAGAATAAGCACATTTTGGAAAAGAATGGATATAATTTTTTAGAAAACTACTTATTATAAAAGGCCATTAAAATCATTTATTTAGGATTGAGAAAAACTTTGGTTAATATAACTTTGCTTTAGTGACAAAGGTAGAGTTAAAGACTACTCTGCAAAAAACTGCAGACATTTTTAAGTAATGATATTGTTGGGTCTATATTTAATATATTTATAGATAATTTTGTTAAGAGGCACTATATAGTGTCATCTAAAAGTTTTCAGATGACAACATGTTTTTCTTGAACTGTAAAATGCCAAACTAACGTAGCTGTAGAAATAATTTTTAAAGCTTTGTGAGATGACAGCAAAGTGGCAGTTGAATTTCACTGTGGGGTCACACAAGGTGATACATGGAGGAGAGAATGATTATCTAGATGATACCAGTGGAGAGTAAGCTCTGATCTTCTTCCACAGGCAAGACACCTGGCCTTTACAAATAAAAGAGTTTAGAACATTCCTTCAAGCTTGAACAAAATAAGTGAAAGATAAATGCCAGTGGGTGATAATTTATAAAATCATTACACTAAGAGATGGAACAAGAACATAATATCAAAACATTAAAAGTAAGGCAGAAGGGCCAGAGCCATGAGCTAGGATTACGGTATAGAGCCATGTGCTAAGACACCTAGGCGCAGTGCATTACAAAACTCGTGATTGCCGGGCTCGGTGGCTCAGCCTGTAATCCCACGCTTTGGGAGGCTGAGGTGAGTGGATTGCCTGAGCCCGCGGGTTCGAGACCCACCCGGGAAACTTGGCGAGACCTCATCTCTACAATAAAATTAAAAAATTAGCCGGGCATGGTAGCGCATGCCTGTAGTTCCAGCTGCTTGGAAGGTTGAGGTGGAAGGATCGCCGGAGCCCAGCAGGTCCAGGCTGCGGTGGCCGGGAGCGGCTACTGCACTCCAGTCTGGGTGACAGAGTGAGACTCCAACTCAAAAAATAAAATAAAGTAAAATAAAATTTGGGTAGTTCTAGACCTTCTTAATTATTAACATCCAAGATGCAATTTTTATTAAAAATTATTTGTTTTTCACGAAATGACCATTGTAGGGATAAAAACTTTGCTGAAGTTCCCAGAAGCATTTTTGGTATCAATAGTGCTATGCCTTATACCAGTTGTGTTGAACACCGATTTGGACAAAAATCTGTCTGAAAAGCCTAAAGAGATGTTTCTTTTCAGAGTTTGAGCAGTTTCCTCACCTTCTCCAACAAGCCAGAGTGAATCCCTTTGTAAGATTATAGAATATAATTTTCTTCAACCTGGGAGCTATGGCTAACCATTACTACAGAGTTCAGTTTGAGTGCTTTTTTAAAATAAAATTTCAGACGTTCTGTGGTATCCTCATTGCATAATAATGTTGCAGATATTGACGTGTTCATGACTCTCTGTAAGGCCCTGTGTAAAGTTTTATAGTGGTTTAGAGATTTGGCTCTCAAGGCCTATACCCCACCTAGGTTCAAATCTCTGGTCGCTTAAAAGTTATGTGGACTTAGACAAGTGGAGTAGTCAGTTTTTCTCATCTGTAAGGTGGAGGTGCCTGCCTCTAAGGAGTACCTGCCTCTAAGCTCTTGTGAAGATTAGTTGAGTCTCTCTGTAGAACATGTAGTGTAGTGCTTGAAACATACTTGAAAAACATGTCTGTGAAGACAAAAATTCATACTCATGTAATAAAACTGGTCTCTGATGCCTAGAGTCTCATAATCTGATGCTAGATACTGACTGTAGGCCCTGTGTGGTTACAGCAGTTAAATAAAGATACGAAATTTGATTAAAGAAAATTTGGTGAAACATTTTAATGCTGCCTTTTGATATAACAATGATTTTGTGAGTGAGTAGATAAGTCCTAGTGGTAACCTTGATTGATGTGGCCCATAGGCAGTGTGGATATAAAGGCAACAAAGGCTTTGAAACCCAGGTAGCTACTGAAAGCAGATGAGGAAGCATGTTCAGCAACTGAAAATGAAATGGGTTCCTCAGACGTGGGCTCTGAATGGCTTGGTTAGTACATAAGCGGAATTGCCAACATAGTCTTACCTGTGTAAAAGAAGTACAGTCACAATCTTTCACCCAAGTGTATCTGTAATGTGGTGAAGACTGCTTCTTTTTTTTTTTTCTGAGTTGGAATCTCACTCTGTCGCCCAGATTGGAGTGCAGTGGCACGCTCCCGGCCACCACAGCCTCAACCTGCTGGACTCCGGTAATCCTTCTGCCTAAGCCTTCCAAGTAGTTTGAACTACAGGCACGCACTACCATGCCCGGCTAATTTTTTTGATTTTTTTTAGAGACGAGGTCTTGCCAAGTTGCCCCATGGGCTCAGGCAATTCACTCGCTTTGGCCTCCCAAAGCACAGGATTGCAGGCTGAGCCACCGAGCCCGGCCAAAGACTGCTTCTTATAGAAATATCTGTCAGTCACTTAAATGTAGGGATGTTGTCAGCATTTTCTAACAGGAAGAGAATATTATGCTCTATAAGTAAGAGTCCTTTATGTCTGAGTAGGCAGTTACTTGTACAGTAATTCAGTAATTACTGTCTTATATGCTTAGCTTGCTCTGTTCTGACAATATCTATGTAGATAGGTCTAAGTGTTAAGATGGATGAAATACTAAAGTGATACTTTTACTCTTTTGTTTCTTAAATTTAGGTGTACACAATTTCAGATGTGATAAAGGATAAGATATTAAATGCTTTTCTAAAAATGTGATGTAAACTTTGTTTGTAGGTAGTGTGTATGATGTGAGTCACTACAATGCTTTACTTAAAGTCTATCTTCAAAATGAACATAAATTCTCGCCAACTGATTTCCTGGCAAAAATGGAGGAAGCAAACATTCAACCAAATCGAGTGGGTAGTTATTGTGAATATTTATTGATCACATCTACTTTTTTATCTTTACCCAGAAAAAAAACATTAACCAGCCCATTTCATTGGCAGGTGACATACCAGAGACTGATTGCTGCTTTTTGTAATGTGGGAGATATTGAAGGTGCCAGGTATGGATCTGTATGAATATATATTTAAGCAAACACATTGGTAAATTTTGTGAACCTTGATGCATTCACTCCTCTTTAAAGTTTCCTCATAATTAGAGAAAATTTTTTAGAAATATTTTAATTTAGCAAATTTGGTATATGACTTAAGAAAGTGTAAAATTATTGTGTAAGAAACTAAAGACAAGTAAAAATTGCTGTTTTAATTTTTAAAATTTGATTTATTATAGCAGAGGTTTAAAATTATTGTGATATAAAGCTGGCTTTACTTTTTATTTTAGTATTTCCTAAGAGAAATGTTCTTAGCTCTTTAAACTGTTCATTTATAAAACTGGGAATAGTCTCTATCTCACTGATTCATATAAAATAAATTTTGACATTTTTCTGCTTATATAAAATTTATATCTATTTTTGGATGAAAGGTTTGAGAAATAAGAGAATAAATTGAAATGTATAATTTCATTTAAAAAGTTAATGAGGCTGGACGTGGTGTCTCATGCTTGCAATCCCAGCACCTTGGGAGGCTAAGGCGAGAGAATTGCTTTAGCCCAGGAGTTAGAGACCAGCCTGGGCAACAAAGCAAGACCTTGTCTCTACAAAAAATTCAAAAAATTAGCTGGGCATGGTGGCATGCTTCTGTAGTCCCAGCTACTTGGGAGGGGGCAGATGGATCTCTTGAACCCAGGAGGTTGTGACTTTGGTGAGCCATGATGGTGCCACTGCTCTTAAGCATAGGTGACAGAGTGAAGCCCTGACTCAAAAAAATAAAAAGTTTAGCCAGGCTTGGTGCCTCAGCCTGTAATCCCGTACCTTTGGGAGGCTGAGGTGAGTGGATTGTCTGAGCCTGTGGGTTCGAGATCTGCCTGGGCAACTTGGCGAGACCTCATCTCTACAATAAAAAAAAAAAAAAAAATTAGCTGGGTGTGGTAGCGCGCGCCTGTAGTTCCAGCTATTTGGAAGGCTGAGGCGGAAGGATCGCCGGAGCCCAGCAGGTCTAGGCTGCGGTGGCCGGGAGCGGCCGCTGCACTCCAGTCTGGGCGACAGAGTAAGACTCCAACTCAAAAAAATAAAAATAAAAAATAAGTTTAATTAGTAGTGTGTAGGACAATCAGATATTTAAAAAATTTTCTAGTATTTTTAACAAGAGTACTTTATGACTACAGGTATATCAGGGGGTGGGATTTTGTGGGAAGGGGATCAGTGTTCACATTTTAGTTTCTAAAACAAGCATGTATCACTATTATATCTTAAAACCAAAAATAACTCAAGACCTAATGCTATACATGGTTTAAAACATGTTTCTGATAAATACTCCAGTGAGTATCTTCATTTCTCTTTTGCAGCAAGATTCTTGAATTTATGAAGACTAAGGATCTTCCAATCACAGAGGCTGTGTTTAGTGCCCTTGTCACAGGGCATGCAAGAGCTGGGTAATGAGCAACCTCAGGTTTTGGTTCTTAAGTGAAGCTTGAAATTTAGAAAAATTGTTGTAGGAAATTCCTAACATATGTTTGTCTACCCCTTCAAAAAAACTTGTAGTGTATGAGGTAGGTAGGACATGTTAATATTTTTATAATTTGTTCTTAAATTTGTTTCATAAAACTTTTATTTGAAATTATGTAATCTAAAAAATTGGGCTTGATCTGAAGCAACTAAATTTGTAGTTTATTAACTGCTCTGGACAATATTTTTTATGTGTTAAGAATATTTTACTAAATGCTGTTTTTAAAAGTTTAATCTGGATCATAATATACTTAATGTAAGATGGTACATTATTTAATACCTGTAATTATTGTAGAATTTGCTTTTTTGAGGGGATCAGATGTTATAGTCTTTATTATTTCAGAAACATTTTCATATATATTTGGTATTTTCTAATATAATTCAGAATGATACTTAACATTTTTTATTTTGAGCATAGGTAACATATTTTAGTTTGATAGTTATTTTACATTTGACAAAAAAGTAGTAATCTATTTTCTTTAAATTAACTTACAGTGATATGGAGAATGCAGAAAATATTCTCCCTGTAATGAAAGAGGCTGGAATTGACCCTGGTCCAGACACATACCTAGCATTATTGAATGCCTATGCCGAGAAAGGTGACATTGACCGTGTTAAGCAGGTGTGACTTATGCCATGTAAATAAACATGCCTTAAAATCATTTGTAAAAATTTGTTAATGTTTTGTGTGAAGCAGAAAAGTGTAGTTTATACCTGTTTGTAAAGATGTTTTCTTGTAGAGCGTATTATTTAAGAATTTTTATTATAGTTTGATACCTTGGTGCTGATAAATAAATTATTTTTGAAGTAGAGTGTTTCCTGTTTTATAAAAGAAGTCCTAAGCCTTTAGATGGTATTTTTTCCTAATTTTTTGAATCTTGATATTTTCATTTATTTTGCTTTAATACTTAAATTTAAAAACATTATTTCTAACTTGTTCTTCTAATTTCTGGAATTGATTGCAGACACTGGAGAAGGTGGAGAAATCTGAGCTTTACGTTTTGGACCGTGATTTATTGCAAATTATTTTTAGCTTCAGTAAAGCTGGTTATCCTCAGTATGTGTCAGAAATTTTGGAGAAAATTTCATCTGAAAGAAGATATATTCCAGGTAGGTTTTAAAAATTTATTTACATGATTTTTATCAAAATCTGAATTATTATGCTTGTATGATGGAAAGTACATTCTCTAACAGTAAAGATTGTGATAGGTAAGCATAGAACTCTTAAAGTCAGCTTAATAAGCTAAAAGACATGTGAGTGAATGACCACATGGGGTTATTTTGATTGGAAAGTGTTGTGTTGTTATTTAGGCAGATATACCCTTTTGGTATTTGCACTTCTTATCTTGTTGTAGTATTTTTGCAATGTGTAAAACTCTTGTTCAGTTTAGTAACAAAAGATGTCTTTGTTTTTCTCCCAGATGCAATGAACCTCATTTTGCTTTTGGTCACTGAAAAATTGGAAGATACAGCATTGCAAATTTTACTGGCATGTCCTGTATCAAGGGAAGATGGTCAGGCTGACTTTGGCAGTTTCTTTTTACAACACTGCGTGAATATGAATGTGGTATTCTGTCCATTTTTACTTTGTAAGCAGTGTGATTGGCAGTGTAGTATATTCTTTAAAATATAAGAAAATTTATAAGACTAGTTGTAAATGTTATAACCTTGTTTTTGTATTGCAAGATTTTTGGATAGAAAGGATGAGAGGCTTAAATTTTTCATCTCAAAATTGGTAGAATATTTGCAGCAGGTCAAATGGTGGGATATTTGCCAATTTCGCCAGTGTGGTGATTTTTTTCCCCATAGCCTGTGGAGAAGCTGACAGCCTACTGTAAGAAGTTGAAGGAAGCCCAGATGCACTCATCTCCTATGCAGTTCACCCTCCATTGTGCTTTACTAACCAATAAAACAGGTACCATATCCTTATAGTTAAGACCAACAGACGTAAGTTTTGTTGAGGTAGCTTTGTGATACTTTTTGGTATCTTTTGCAGATTTGGCAAAAGCTCTGATGAAGGCTGTGAAGGAAGAAGGTTTTCCTGTCCGAACTCACTATTTCTGGCCACTGCTAGTTGGATATCAGAAGGAGAAAAATGTTCAAGGTGAGGTTTTGCCTTTTGCCTCTTTGTAATGGTTCACAAAGTCAGTGTAACAGTTTTGCACACACCTAACTGAATTCTTAGGGAAAGCATACGTATTCCTGAGTATTAGATCTTCTGAGAAGATGGAATTGTTTTAAATCATAGTAAAGTACTATGTGAGCCTTTTATAAACCAAAATGTGGTGAATTTTATTCATCTTCATTTTATTAATTTCATTTCTTAGTTCATCTCTGATCTTGATATTCAAACTTGAGTATAGTTTTAAGCAGTTTATTATTTTTTCAAGTTCTTAAAAGGACTCAATTCTTGATTTTACATATAGTGTTTCAAATTCATTTATTTAGCCTTAAGAAAGATAAAGTTGTGTAATCAGCTCATGAAAACAAGAAGTGTGGCCATTTTCTTTGTGGACCAATCTATTTCTTTTTAACTGAGCTTAGTTATAATAGGAAAGGCAGGAAAACTTTTATTGCAAAATGAGTGCTCATGACCTGACAGCCTGCTGATTGAAGGACAATCTTGCAGGTTCTTAAGTACGTTTAAGCATTTAGCATACTTTTCCCTTGTACACATGGGATATCTATAGGATATGAATAAGAATTGAACAAATATTAAATTTTAGAGTACAGTATCTAATTCTTTGGTTTGCATTATTGGTAATTCAGAAAGAATAGTCTCATAAAAAGATGCTTTTAACAGAAGTACTTTCCCCTTGGGGAAACAAAAAATGGTCTTTTTCATTTTATCTCGCAGTATAATGTGCTTTGGAATGAGATGCAGAGTTGTTAGTGTGACATTGGGTGACAAACAAAATGCACAAACAACAAAAAAAGTGCTTTTAGCAGACTTTCATATTGCAATTTTATTTTAAATATATAGTCGTCTTCTGGTTTAAAGGAAATAGTGAAACAAGTATTCCCTAATTGTTTCTAGCAATAAAAGTCTCTAAATCCTTTTTAGCAAAATCTTTGTGAAAACAATATGCTAGTTGATTAACTCTTTATATGTCCTCCAGTTCTGAAAGCTCCAAAACGTAACCTATAACCCAGGTTTTTGAACCACAGAAAGTTTACATCATTACATTCAACTCATTGGGCATGTTAGTACCGTCCACCTTAACCCAAGTGTGAACGTACTTGAGGTGCCTCTTGAGATATTTGTTCATTGGGTTAATTTGCTTTCTTCAGCCATGTCAAGTTGAATTGGTTACTACATTCTTACTACTCAACTACTCAGTAAACATAAAAGAGTTAGATAATTTCTTTCTATAGTTATGGTAGTTGAACTAGTAGAAAATTGGCTTTCTCTTGAATCTGTCTTTTCTCAGAATCTTAGAATTTAGATTTTAAAAGTGCCTTGTTGAAAGCTCACATTGCATTCATGAAGGAACTGAGAACTGCAAAGAGATTGAGTGACTGACCTTAGATTCCACATCTAGTTAGCACCCATGCTAGGTTTAGAATAGAGGGTTTCTGGCCCTCGATCAAATTTTTTTTTATGCCATACCATTTCCGTGTTAGACTTTTGGAAATACTATACTGTATCTATTTAATAAAATTCTTAGCTATTGCTTAAAAATTAGTTGCCAGTTTTTTCATGAAGGACATTGCAAAGAGATGCCAAATTTTTAAGCAGTGAAGGTTTTATCTGGAAAAATACAAAAGCTTATGCTTTCTCAAGAAATGTGACTTTATAGTGCAAGAGATTGTTAGTTGTTTCACAGTTTTAAAAAACTGTTTTCCCTAGCCGGGCGTGGTAGCTCGCGCCTGTAGTTCCAGCTACTTGGAAGACTGAGGTTGGAAGGATTGCCAGAGCCCAGTAGGTCGAGGCTGCAGTGGCGGGGAGCGGCCACTGCACTCCAGTCTGGGTGACAGAGTGAGACTCCAACTCAAAAAAAAAAAAAAAAAAAAGTTTTCTTTGCAGAAATCCTGAAAAATAGTAAAGTGTGTATTCTGCCATCTTATTTTATGTAGCAGAGAAATGGCTATATGTATTCTCTAAAGTGTCTTTAGCGAAAGATGAGAAAGTAACATTCTTATTAGTGCAGTGGACATGTTCTTTGTACAGTGAAGATCATATATAAAATGGTAGAAATAACAGAAGAAAATAATGGCTATAATAATGGAGCTTGTTCGGGAGTGTTTTATAAAGAATGGATAAAACTTCATGAATTCAAAGAAAGATACTTGGAGGTCAGTTAAAATTGACCTAAAGAGTTTTCTACAATAGGATAATCAAATTTGTTGAATTTTTTTTAGCTGCATGTATAGCCATCACTAACCTCTAAGAAAGATTTTTATATGACTTCCTCAGGGCTTATCTTATATTTCTCTGTGGCTCAAGTGGAAAATCACCACTTAAAATAATACATGTCTAGCCAGTTGGCCTGACTGAGAGGAAGTAACCTGGAGTGAATCGGGATCTGCATGCCTTGGTATATTGAGAAAACATAGCAATTGGAATGTGCAAGGGGTAAAATATGTAAGAATCGATTTGAAAGCCTGCACCCAGTTGAGTAAAATGGTTAAATAAAAACTTTTCAAAGAGTAAGAAATGGCCTCCTCGTAAAGTGAGTGCCCTGGATAAAGTACAGTGATGTGGAGTGAAGCAGTCATAGATGGTGTAAGTTGCTCAGTAAATCATATATCTTTCCCAATAGTTTGAATTATTTTAATTCTCATAAAACTTTTAAAAACAAGACTTTCTCTAGTTTTATAAATTTTCTTATGGCGACATTGAAATATTTTTTACTAGATTCTTTAATGGTGGTTTAGATGTTTCTAAGTTCACAGAGATTTGGAATTCATTTATATATAAGCTAATACAAGATTATTTAAATCTTTTTTGTTTTAAAAAGAAATGTGCATAGTGGCACATTACTGTAATCCCAGCGCTTTGGGAAGCTGAGGTAGGAGGATCACTTGATCCCAGGTGTTTGAGACCAGCCTGGGTAACATAACGGGATCTTGTCTCTATAAAAAATTAGCCAGGCATTGTGGCGTGTGCCTGTAGTCCCAGTTACTTGGGTGGCTGAGGTGAGAGAATCATTTGAGCCCAGGAGGTCGAGGCTGCAGTGAGCCATGATTGTGGTACCGTATTGCAACCTAGATGACAGAGTGAGACCCCAACTCAAAAACAAACAAACAATCGTGAATTGTATTTTTTATGAGAACTTATATAGGTAGATCAATCACCTTTTTCCTACTTATCAATAAGTGTGTTCCTCCTCCCATCTGACTTTAATTATTGAAGAGAACATCTTTGTGTGATTGAACTTATCTGAGCAGGTGTGATCCCAGGTTTTCTTTCTTTTTTTTTTTTTTGAGTCAGGGTCTCACTCTGTTACCCAGGCTGGAGTACATTGGCACGCTCACGGTCGCCACAGCTTCAGCCCGCTGAGCTCAGGGGATCCTTCTGCCTCAACCTTCCAAGTAGCCGTGCACAGGTGCAAACCACCATGCACAGCTAATTTTTTGATTTATTGTGGAGACAAGGTCTCACCAAGTTGCCCAAGCTGGTCTTTAACCCTTGGGCTCAGGCACTCCTCTTGCCTCAACCTCCCAAAGTGCTGGGATTACAGGCATAAGCCACTACTCTCGGCCATCCTAGGTTTTCTTAATCCCGCTTTCATTTCAGTTAGAAAGTTTTGTATGTTGAAAATGCTAGCACCACAGATGATCTAAATGAGCAGAATGCACTCCTGCCCCAGTGAACATTATTGGAAAAATGAAGAGTTAGGAGAATGAATCATATTTAAGGCATAGAAGACGTGGTGAAATGTTTTGTACAGCAAGAAAAATCTTCTATTTGCAATCAATTTGTTGGCCTGTTTTCAAATATTAGAAAATCTATCATCTGAGAAACTTTAAAGAATTACTGATTAATGTTAGTTTGGTACAACTAAAAAGTTAAATCATTTCTACTGTTAACATTTACTTAGTAGTTTTAGGGTTTCACACAAATATTTTTAAAAAATTTTAATGACCCATCTAAGGGGTAAGTAGGGAGCTATATTTTTATCTTTCTTATATTATAGACAAGGAACTAGTATAAGGTGACAGAACAAGGACTTGATACCACTTCCTTCTGATTCCAGGAAAAAGTATAGATTTTAGCATTTTTCTGGTGTTACAAGCACCTGCCAGAATTAGGAGACTTGAGTTCATCATTAAAGTTTTGCTTGTTGATATTGGAGAAATCAGTTTATACTTTTGTTCAGATGAAGATTCATTGACTCCTTCCTCCCTTTTTTGATGGACAAAAACTGTATATGTCCGAGGAACAATATGATGATTTGATATATAGATCATTTTGTCCTGATTAGAAAAATTAATTAACACGTGTTCATTATTACCCATAGTTACCAGTTGTATGTATGTGTGCAGACACTTAAAATCTGCTCTCTTATCAATTTGAAGGTAAGCAATACGGTGTTAACTGTAGTCACCATACTGTACCTGAGATCACTAGAATTTATTCATCTTATAACGGAAAGTTTGTACCCTTTGGCCAACATCTCCCTAGCTCACCCTCACTCCAGTCCCTGGCAACTGTCATCCTACTTTCTGCTTCTGTGAGTTTGAAATTCTACATATAAGTGAGATCATATAGTATTTATTGTCTTTCTGTATCTGGCCTATTTCACTTGATTGACTTCTAAAGGCACTTCGACTTTATTTACATAGTGAAGCGCTCATTCCCAATAGACTGAGTAGAAAGCCTTGTTAATATAGAGTTTGACATATTGATCTAAGCTAAGTTGTAATACTGAGATTCTGTTTGTTCAGAATATTCCAGTTCTATTATTCTGATGTCTTCAATCTTCCCCTAGGCATAGGCCATAAGAATTTCTTCCATACCTATTGATAATATTTGAATTCTTGGAACTTTGTTTCCATCCACTCAATAAGCATGAACTCAGTAGGTCAGAAAATTGTTCCATTCATTGAGTACCTTGACACTTACTGCCTTGCAGAGTCCAGGGATGGCATTAGAAAGTTTAAACAATGCAGTGTGTAGAAAAGCATCTAGAAAGTACAGTTCCTGTCATATTGCCATTTCTAGTGTGTACACTAAGAAATTACATCTCAGAAAGGCGAAGTTACTTGCTTACATTGATACTGCCTTTAAGTGCCAGAATCAAATTAGAAAGCCAGGTCTCTTTACACTCTAAAGCCTGTTTCTCTGTCACTTCACCAGAGTATCTCACCAGAAACTTAGCTATTTATTTTAAGCCTTGGTCATAGAAATGACCATTACTGGTCAGAAAGGACACTGAAAACATTAACACAGGTTGGTGACTGGTAATTAAAAAGCAACTTAGCTATGTCCTCCTGACAGGCACTTAGTAGTCTTTGCGTACAAAGAGCAAAGGCCAGGAGTGGTTGCTCATGCCTATAATCCCAGCACTTTGGGAGACCAAGGTGAGAGGATGGCCTGAGCCATGGGTTCGAGACTAGCCTGTGCAACTTGGCTAGACCTCATCTCTACAATAAATAAAAAAATCAGCCGGATGTGGTGGCACGTGCCTGTAGTTTCAGCTACTTGGAAGGCTGAGGCTGAAGGATCACCTGAGCCCAGCAGATCGAGGCTGTGGTGGTTGTGCCACTGCACTCCATCCTGGGCATCATAGTGAGACTCTGACTCAAAAAAAAAAAAAAAAAAAAAGAAGAGCACAGTGTGATATGACATCTTTTATGATAGTTGTAAAGGTTGTTAGGACTGATTCTCTGTGAATTATTGAAGGAGTGGTGTAAATTTTACTTAAGTGTTATGCTTGTGTGTACTGTGTGGGCCAACTCTATATGCAGGCTCTCCTAAATTTAAGTAACCACATGCTATTTCTTTTATTTTATCCTGAGAACATTTGATATACACTTAGCAGATTTCAAGTATACAATATGTTATTATTAACTATAGTCACCATACTGTGTATTGTATGAACTTACTCATCTTATAACTGAAAGTAGTTTTTGCCTGTTGATCAACATCTCTTTGTTTGACATACTGATCTCACACTCCCACTGTGGTGAGCACCATTCACATCTAAGTGAGGTCATATGTTTGTTCTTCTGTTTCTGGATCATTTCACTTAGCATAATGTCCTTCAGTTTCATTCACGCTGTTGCATATGACAGAATTTCCTCCTATTTTATGGCTGAATTATAATCCATCATACATGTTTATACACACCACATTTTCTTTATCCAGTCATCTGTCTATGGAATGTTATTTCCACATCTTGGCTGCTGTGAATAATACTGCAATGAACATAGGTCTGCAGATATCTTTTTGAGATAGTGATTTTATTTCCTTTGGATATATACTCAGAAGTAGAATTGCTGGGTCAGATGGTATGATCTAATATCATATGAATCCCCGTACTGTTTTTCATAATGGCTGTACTAGTTTCCATTCCCAGCAACACCTTACCACCATTTATTAACTATTGGCCTGTTTTGCGTCGGAGTCTCTGTTGCTCAGGCTGGAGTGCAATGGCACACTCAAGGCTACTGCAGCCTTGACCTTTTGGACCCGGACCGTCCTTCCACCTCAGCCTTCCAAGTAACTGGAGTCATAGGCATGTACCACCATGCCCAGCTAATTTTTTGATTTATTGTAGAGACGAGGTCTCACCGTGTCACCCAGGCTGGTCTCGAACCCTTGGGCTCAGGCAGTCTCTCGCCTTTGCCTCCCAAAGTGCTGGGATTACAGGTGTGAGCCACTGTGCCCATCTAATAATCTCAATTAAAAAAAATTATACTTAATCATTTTCTGACATAATCTATATTCTATTTAAAAGAAATGTGCAAATGTTCATAACGTAGTTAGAATTGCCTGTGTCTTTCTGTAATTAGTAGGGATTTATTGTCAGTTATCTATACTAGTGTGCATTATGTAGCAAATTTATAGAAATGTAATTTTTCTGTAGATCTATTAAAGGTTAGACACAGGGACTTTCAGGAAAGTTTTAATAATGTGAAAGTAAGCCGGGCTCGGTGGCTCAGCCTATAATCCCACACCTAGGGAGGCTTAGGTGAGTGGATTGCCTGAGCCCGTGGGTTCGAAACCCACCTGGGCAACTTGGTGAGACCTCATCTCTACAATAAATCAAAAAAGTAGCTGGGCGTGGTAACGCGCGCCTGTAGTTCCAGCTACTTGGAAGGCTGAGGGGGAAAGATCGCCAGAGCCCAGCAGGTCGAGGCTGCAGTGGCCAGGAGTGGCCACTGCACTTCAGTCTGGAAAACAGAGTGAGACTCCAACTCAAAAAAATATATAATAATAATAATGTGAAAGTAATGAAGCCAAAGGGAAAACTGGCCTTTGTCAAGTTAGGTGATACCTGACACCTGAGTAGTTTGACAGTTATCTGGAATTAATTGGATCTAATATCAAACCATTAGTTTATACTATTTGAAGCTCACTGCAACTCTGAAAACATGAAATGACTTAATACTTCTCAAGTAGTTATTAAGAGATAATTTTGTGAGTGGGGGATGAGACAAACAACTTACTAGATTTTTAAGTTAATTTTGCATACAGTGAGATGGTAATTTATCAGAATCAAATGTTCTCTTCATTTTTCATTCTTGCACAATATGCTGTCAAAAGTTAGTAACAGTTAGGGAATCTTTAGATATAAGTGCTGTATTAAAAACACATTTTGTAAGTAGTTTGTCTTTGTCAGGTCCTCTCCTAGCCTACTTCTCCAGTCCCTTTCCTTTGTGGCATTTATTCTGGTCAGTTTTATTGTGTGAATCCATCCTTGCTCTATGATAGCAGTGTTGTTTTTAGAAAACTTTTCAGTTGAGGGTGCCAGAAATATTAGGACATTGCTGAATTGTTTTAAGTGTTTTTATAGTGATAATTTCAAATGTTTTTTTCTTAGCACTCACTACTGAATTACTAGAGGGAGAGGAAGAAAAGAGGAATTAATTTTTTTGTGTATCGTCATATCTCCCAATTCTGTTGCTTTTTTGCCTTCTCTTAGACACACAAAATGCTGAGTAATTTTCCTACATTATGATTCAGAAAGTAATTGAATTGAACTTTCTGATCTGTTGTTAATTTATTCCACGTTTTTAATCTCTGTGCTTCGAAATTGTATCTTACAGGTATAATTGAAGTTCTCAAAGAGATGCAGGAGTTAGGAGTAGATCCTAGCCAGGAAACATATATAAATTATGTGTTTCCATCCTTCGATAGTGTAAAGTCAGCACGTGCTATCTTGCAGGTGAGTAAAACTGTTGTTGTAATTTAATAATTAAAGAGAATATCTTTCCTCCCTAATGTAGTCACCAAAAATCACTCAACTGAGGACTGGAAATGACCAAGTCTGAATATAATTTTCTAAAGCTTTGTAAAAATGTTCATTGATACAACATTTATAGTGGTTCCACTTGAAAAATTTAGAAAGGCGAAGCAGCATTTTTCTTGTAAGTTTTAAAAAAATACGGCTGGGCTCGGTGGCTCAGCCTGTAATCCCAGCACTTTGGGAGGCCAAGGTGAGTGGATTGCCTGAGCCCGCAGGTTTGAGACCCACCTGGGCAACTTGGCGAGACCTCATCTCTACAATAAATCGAAAATTTAGCCGGGAGTGGTAGCGCGTGCCTGTAGTTCCAGCTACTTGGAAGGCTGAGGCGGAAGAATCGCCAGAACCCGGGTCGAGGCTGCAGTGGCTGGGAGCGGCCACTGCACTCCAGTCTGAGTGACAGAGTGGGACTCCAACTCAAAAAAAAAAAAAAAAATACTGATATCAGAAGAAATTAAAACAATATTCATTTCTTCATTTCACCCTGAAATGCAACTACAATTTTCATTTATTATTATTATCATTATTATTATTATTATTTTTGAGTTGGAGTCTCACTTTGTCGCCCAGACTAGAGTGCAGTGGCCGCTCCCGGCCACCGCAGCCTCTACCTGCCGGTCTCTGGCGATCCTTCCGCCTC